ACTGCACCCCACTGCCCCCCACCAGGCCCGGGCTGGATGCTGCAGGGCGGCAAAGCGCCGTGCTGGGCGAGCGGAGCATCCCCGGTTCTGCGGGCGCAGAGGGAGCGGCTCTCCCTCCCCAGTGCGGCCACAACGGCAAATCGGGAGTTAAAAACTCCTCCGGAGAAAGGGGAGCTGCAAAACATCAGCCTTCTTCCACCTCAAAAGAGCAAGAATGAATCAGAAAAGGGCAAAGTGTGTGAAAAGGATGAATTGTAATAAAAACGGTGTTTAAATGTGCCACCGAGAATTAATCACTTTTTCCTTCGTAGCTTCCCCTTTCTGGGCTATTCCTGGGAATCTGCGGAAGGAAACATGAACGAGGGATGGGTTTTATTTCGGGTGCAAACTAGATGGGGGGTGTAATTACGCTGGTTTGGGGGCACAGAGTGGGGCTCGGCAGACGGGGTGGGGGTGAGAAGCGCCACGGCACTGGGAGGGCAGGAGGCAGCCCCGGTGCGAGCCCAGCACCGCGGGGACTCGACCGCCCTCCCGCCTCCGTAAACGCCTGAAATTGGGAGAGCGCTTATCCCCTTTGAGTCAAGGACTGGAAATAATGCTTCCCAGGGAGAGGCAAAGCGCTCCATCTGCTCGGCTCGTCGGGAAGGAGATGGAGGGGCGGCTCTTGGCTGCCTGGAGGAGCCGTGGGCACGGAGGGGACCCGCAGAGCCGAGCCGGGTCCCGGCCAGCCCGGGTCGGAGCAGGGCAGGGTGGGCAGCGAGGGTGGGCAACCGCAGAGAGCCCGGGGAGGGGATGCTTTCCTCCCCACCCTCTCATCCCACCTCTTCCCTCCCTGTTCCCCGGGTTACCCACGGGGCCGCCAGCCCCCGGCTGGGAGCAGAAGGGCTGTGTGGGGTCTCGGGGGGCGGCATCAGCACCGGAGGATGCTTTATCACCAAAACCCCCGCTCGCTGGCAAGCCTGGGGAGCGTCACCTTTTCAGATACACAAAATCAATGCTGTCCTATATTCCAGAACCTTTAAACACCAGACAGGCAATTTGTCTTCTTTTACGGTGGCGGAGAGTCGCAAGGAGCCTGGCCAGATTAAATAATCCAGCAACAGAAATTCGAGGTCATTTTCATCATATTAATGGTTTTCCTGCCTACGGTTAAAAAGGGAGCCGAGGCCCCGGGCTTGGACTGACTCCGCCATGGCATCGCTTTTCTGCAGAGAAGCGGTTTTGGTGAACGTGGCAACAAGCCGGGAGCGATGGGGGAAGAGGCAGCGGGGGCTCTGGGCGCATGTGGCCGGGGGGGCTGTGGCCGGACTTCAGCCTGGCAGATGTCACCCACTGCTTTGGGACCGGGATTTGGCCTCTGCGGACTATTTGTCTGCCCTGCCAAGGGGGCGATGGAAGGAGAACTATGTGAAACTCTGCTTTTCCCCACTTTTTAATGAAGAAGTAAATAGAGTTGGAGCTGTATGGAACCGGTTGGCTGTTCCAGTGCAAAAACGCAGCTCAGTATTTTCAGAGAGATTTTGGTAAGAAGATCTGTGGGTGCGCTGCTGTGTCACTACACATACAGCACAACGCCTTACCCCTCCTCCAAACCCCACTCGTACGCTGGGGGGGGAAGAGGGGAGGAGCTGAAAGTCTGAGCATTCCTTAGAAACGGAAAGCAAATTTGAGATGACATGAAAAACATCAGTGGACGTATCTGAAAGCCTTTGGTAAGCGCTTTCCAGGAATATTTTTTGGCCTCAGTTTCATTCGTAAGAATACTTGCAGAAAGCAGACTCTCAGCGTGGATGCTGCTGCGTTTGGTTGCAAGCGTTGCGTTACAGATTCAGTTGTAGCATACACAACTTGTGCTGCGAGATAACTCCCACCGAGAAGCGGGAAGAGCCGCGCGTGGCTCGTGGGATTCCCCAGCACAGCCGGCTTCGCCAGAGCCAGAAACCCCTGAAATTCCCTGTCGGGGGTAGTCTCGGCAGCGCCGGGTTTGTTTACCGCAGGGATATTTCTGTAGCTCTGCAGAACAGCGTTGGCGCGCGGCGATGGGTGGCACGTGGGTAGATGTTTACCCGGGGAAGGAAAAGCAGCTCTCCCGTGCGACACCGACGCGGTGCGCGCGGTGCAAACGGCAGCGTTTCCCGGGGAAAGTCAGAAATAACTGTGGATCCATTTGAGAATGTCACGGGCTTTTTGCCTGCGATTTGTAAAGACCAAGAGAAACAAAACGTACCGAGTAAGTAACTGCTCGCAGAGCTTTAACTGGAAGCAGTTATGCGGGAGCTGCGGAGGAGGGCTCCCTCCACCCCCCCAGCCGTGCCGGCAGCAAGGCAGGACGTGGGGGCTCCCTCCGCCCGCGGAGGTTTCGGGGTCCCGGCCCTTCTCCAGCTTCCCGGGTGATTCATCCTCGAGGGTTTTCTGCTTCAGCACATTGCCGAGAGAGACAGTGACGGATAAAGGAGAAGAGCTCCGCATAACCTCGATTACCCAAGGATAATGAGGCCCAGCGCACCCTTAAGGTATCGGTAATGTTTGTACCTATTCAGCTTTTTCAGCACTAAAACTAACCATTTATATCCATTAAAAGCAGACAACTGGATGGCAAGCCGAGCCCTGCGCGCACCTCGGCGCCGGCTGCCTCTTGATGGGCAGCATATATCACGCCACACGCACTCGGAGATCCTCATCTGTGGTTCCTCTCGGCATTTGGCTCCGGGAATGTCACGACACTGTGATGAGCTGCTGCGACGCATCAGCTTTGGGGCTGCCCTGCTGCCCGTTCGGGCTCCATCGAGCATCCCGGTCCTGCCGAGCCCCTGCACCGCGCAGCCGTCCCCATCCCACCCGGCTCCTGCCATCGCCGCGCTCGGTGTCCTTCAGCCCTCGAGTGCCAAAGCTGAGAGGGTCCCTGTGGGGTTGGACTAGATGATCTCCAGAGGTCCCTTCCAACCCTAACCATTCTCTGATTCTGTGATTCTGTGGGCACCGTCCATGCCGCAGCCACCGCTTTCTCCGCCACCTCCTGCCAAGATCTCTCATCGCACGCCGGAGCAGCGGCGTGTCCCCACCATGGGCGCTGCGCGGTCCTGGACGTGCTCAGCACCTTCCCAGCTCCTTCACGTGATGGTATCCTCACACAGAGCCCATGCCAATCCTCAGGGAATTCTTGCCTTTGCCTTCGCAGTTGCTTTTCCAGCACTGTAACCCTTGATACACTACTTTTAATTATGGGGGAAGCATCGTTAAGTAGACTAATCTTCTCAGCAAACTAATGTTTGATGGCCATAAGGGGCCTAATTGGTTCAGGCGTTTTGTAATTAGACCCTCTCAATACCTGTGCAGATTGGGTCGCTGGCTGGAGACAAGATTCTGTTTCCTACCAGAATCATTTAACCAGATGAAGAAGTAACTTTTTTTCAGCCTATAAGAAATAGAAAATTACATGTATTGGAGTTAATCCTTTTTGGGTGAAGATGTTGCAAGAGATAATAAACAAAGCCTTTTTGGGTGAAGATGTTGCAAGAGATAATAAACAAAGCCCAAACCACGCACGTTGCTCCAGCGTCTCCAGTGTTGCAAGAGATAATAAACAAAGCCTTTTTGGGTGAAGATGTTGCAAGAGATAATAAACAAAGCCCAAACCACGCACGTTGCTCCAGCGTCTCCTGAATAATTAGAGAGCTTGCTGATGAAAACAGACAAGAAAGGAGCCCAGCCCAGGGGCGCGTTATCAATTTTGTTTGCTCCCAGAGGCCACCGAGTGTTTGATCAGCCCCTGTCGAGCCGTCCTTCGGATGCAATACGCCCCCCCTCGCAGGTAAATATTTGGCCGGTGGATGGGGTTATCTGCCCGTTCACGACGCCTCTTATCTGTCCTGGTGCAGCCCGAGCCCTGATTGCTATTCCCGCGGCAGTGGGAGCGCCGGCAGCGGCGGCCGAGGAGCTGGTGGGACGGCAATAACAATCATACGTCTCCGATATTGCTTTCCACCCATGGAACGTAATTGCTTCTGCAGAAGAAATTAAGCATCGTAATGAAACGGCCATGAAAAGAGGCTTTGCTCTCCATCACCAGACCACAAATACCGCAGACACAGGCAAGGGCACCGAGCCCAGCGGGGCAGGAGCGGCTCCTGCTGCCTCCCCGTCCTGCGCTGGGGCTGTCTGCGCCCACAGAACGGTTTGGATGGAACCAGGCGATAAACCGGACCCCAATTTGCGGACCCTTTCTGCCTGCCCAAACTTCTCAGCTTTCGCTTCATTTCCAGCGTATTGGCTGCCTTTTGCTCGGCTTGCTTTCTGCTCTGGGAAAGCGCCAAAGGGCCTCCGGGACATCGCGTGTGGCTTTAAACCCAGCGCTGAGTCTCTCAAACCGGGGGAGGGAAGACGCATCGTTGTCCAGAGAAGCCGCACGTGTCTGAAGGCAGAGTTTGCAGTGCAACAGGGAGGATAACTTTTCTAGAAGGGGTAAAACCACCCGAGTAAAATGCCCGTTCTGCCAGCTGGGGCCTTGCACTGCCCCGCGCGACCCCCGGCGTTCAGCCCAGCGCCCGCGGCACAGCCCCCACCCCGCCGGGAGCCGCGAGCGATGCAAAATCGCATCGCGGCCGTCGCTGCCTTCTCATCCGCTTCATCGATGCTCTCAAAGAGCATCTCGCACAGGCGGAAATCTGCCCCGCCATCTTCCGTCGAGCGAGCGAAGCCCCTCGCGGTTCCCGGGGACGGGGAGGCTCCGTGCCGCTGGCTCCCGTGGCCGGTGGCTGGCAGAAGTGGCTCGTGCCTCTGCGCTCCCGGGGCATGGCCGGGGGGGAAAAATGCCTTCGGGAGCGAGTGCTCCACAAACGACCGGGTTGGTTTTGTCTCCTTTCCCTCCGCGGCACACACATGCCTGCCCAAAGCATCCTTTTGCCATTCTCCACCTGGGTTATCTTCCTGGAGTTGTCACCCACGCCGGGCTGCCGGCTGAAACCACCGCCAACGCGTCAGCCCCCACCTCGCCAACCCCCAGTGGGTGAGTTGTGGTCGCACCAGAGGTGCCCTCGAGGGAGGACCAGGAGCCCCCTTCACCGCTGGGAGTTCACTCAAGCAGTACATCGCCCATCCGGGGTCTCCCTGGACACCGCAGAAGAATCTGTCCATTTAAAATAGGATTATTTCTGGGTGGCAAACCGCAAAGTTAATTTGGCTCTAATCCCTTTAAACGGAACCAATTATTGGAGCGCTAATGACTCTCCTGGAGGTCTCTGCCGGGCCGGGGCTGGCGAGGGCACCGGAAGGTTTGCCGGCAGAGGAGCCCGACCTCCCGCCCGGTGCGGCGGGACGGCACCGGCGCTGGCAGCAGGGAGAGCAGCAGCACCACACAACCACCTCCGCCGGGGCCACCGCGGGGGGCCGGGACCCCAAGCAGCCCCGCGGGGCCGTGGGTCCCCTCCCCCCTGCCCCGAGTCCCTCGCCGCCCGCTTTCCGCCAAAGAGCGTGAGAATAAACAGCTTTAATCATACAATCCCCACTTCCTATTGCTAATAATATTATCATCATGATATTAAGCCAGTTAATTCTTTCTCTCAATTTATTTGCTTTTGTTTTTGTACTCCCATGTTGTAATTTTCAATTTAATTAGTCTCAGTGTTTCTGAGGGCAATAGGTCTTGGTTTATCTTTGCAGCTAATAGTCCTAATTGTTTACCCTTTCTTCTGCAATATCTCATTAACTTTATGGGCCATAATTTCCGTGGCATCTCCGGAATTAATTCCCTCGCTATTTGAACCGGAATCCTAAAATCTTCCCCTTTTGCTTTTCACTTCTCTAAGACTGCTTGACCTGGCCCGTCCTCGCTCTCCTGACTGCTCCCGCGGCTCAGCGCTGCCGTGTCCCAGCAAACCCGCGGGCAGAGGATGGAGCCGGGGCTCTGCGGGCGGCCGGCGGGCAGCAGGGTGGGCAGCAGGGCTGTGCCTTCCCCTCCTGCATCCCGGGAGGGGTTGTACCGGGGATGTCCCATGGCAGGTGGGAAGGGAAGAGGAGCGCCACGGCCGGCGGAGCGGAGCGGAGGCTGAACGCCGAACCGAGCCGGGAAGCAGCCCCGAGGCAGCCCCCGCTGCTGCTGAGCCGCCATCAGCGCCGGGCGAGGAAACCGAGAGGCTTCAGGTCATTTCTCACGCTGGTGCCAGGTCACAGCGGCAAGAGGAGCTTTGTTCCTTAAAGCACACTTCTGATACATCTAATCAAGCAGGCAATTTAGAAGAGAAATCAAATCAGGTCCCTCCTGAATACCAATTTCACCGACGCTGAGGACGGGCTGCGCTCCAGGGACCGCCCGGCACAGGGCAACTGTGTGCTCCCCGCTCCGGCGCTGCGGGGATGCCGCCGCCGGGCAGAGCCCGCATCTGTCACCCAGAAATTGCAGTCACATTCCTCTTCTTTGCGTTTCTTTCCACGGTTGGTCCCGCTCCTCCGAGAACACCTTTGGTTGTATTTTCTATCTTTAAGAGCCCAGGGTGGCTTTTCCCGCTGACGGAGCGCTCTGGCTCTTCCCCTCGGCGAGTGCCAAATTTCTTCCCTCCGGCAAGGGAAGAAAAAGCTGTTGGGAAACGAAAATATCGGGGCAGAGCTCCCCATCCCTCCGCTGGCTCCAGGAGCGCGCCTGGCTGCCCCGGGGCCATGGCGGCGTTGGCGCGGGGTGAGCTGAGGGCAGAGCTTGCAGGCGGCTCCGCTACCCCCCGACTCCCGCCTTCAGACCCCATTAATCACGCTCCTAATGAGTTTGTGTTCACAGATGAGATGTTTTTGGCTGCAGAGCGGAGCCGCAGATTGTATCTCCCATCGATCGTTTCATCCCGCTGGAATGATTTGCACCGGGAAACGGTTCTGAATTTTCGGCTTGAATCGCGCTCAGAGAGCGGGATCGGCACGTGGACCTGTTCGTTCACTTGTAACGACTGCGACGACGTGGGATTTTTTTTCCCTCCGTGTTTTACACTCAACTTCACCTTCAGGCCTGATCTCCCCGGCTGGAGGGCAGCATCCCCCGAGCCCCCCGAAGCC